AGTTAATTTGGGGTAGAATTTTCATCTTAACTGTGGCTATTCGTCCCAGGAGGGAGATGGGAAGATTATTCCAGCGCTTCAGGTCACCACAGATCTTATCTAGCAGCGGGCTAAAGTTCAGGTGGACCAGGTCTGATAGTTTGGGTGAAATATTTATGCCAAGATATCTAATGTTGCCCATAGGGAGAGAAAATTTTTGGTCTGCAGGATTCCAAGAGTTCTCCATTTTTGGCATTATTGTCGATTTAGACCAGTTGATGGAGTAGTCCGAAAGTTTAGAAAAATGTGTTATGAGATTAAATACTTCATGTAAAGACGATTTCGGTTCTTGTAGATAAAGTAAAATGTCGTCGGCATATAGATTAATTTTATGCTCTGAATTGGCGGAATGGATACCTATGATCTTGCTGTTCTGACGGACTGCCATAGCCAATGGTTTGATGAATATTGCAAACAGTAGAGGTGAGAGTGGGCACCCTTTATAGCCGTTTATATCTACATAGGGAGTGGGTCTTCATCCTTGGAGTCCACCATGTTGCACTGCCATGTAGCCCAAAATGAACAAACCAAACACTGGCTCTACATAGGCCATTTTTGCATCAGCCATCGTAGTTAGCAGCCCCTTTGTGACGAGCCGAACAGCTTCAGAAAAACACAGATTTTTAACATGAGACTGCTTTATTCAGTGTTTTTACCAGTTTAATCACCTGGTCCATTTGTTTTGGAGAGGAAGAGACCTCTGCAGGTAATATAACTCCCTTTAAAAACATCCTGAACAATGAACACTGAAGGAATGCTAACCAGGAGTCCACGTTTGGCATCACCTGAAAATAAGAACTGTGTTTTCATTACCTTACAATGAGCCGTTTACATCTGCATAGGGAGCAGGTCCTCATCCACAGAGGCCATTTTGTTGCACCGATAGGTTTCTACAGTAGCCCAGAACAGGTGAACCAAACACTGGCTCTAGATGGGGCCATTCACGTTTTTCATTTCAGCCACTGTCATTTCCATGACAAGCGGCATCGAACTGCAGCATGAAATCTCCTGGTCTGTTTGTGTTGAAGAGGAGGAGACCTCCACAGATAATTCAGCTCCTGGTTAAAACCTCCTGAACAATGAACACTGAACAAATCCAAAATGGGAGACACAAGAGACGTTTTAGCAGGTTGTAATCTGCAGTCCTCACTGCTAGATGCCACTAAATCCTACACACTGCTCCTTTAAACCCTTTTTATTTGTACTTTGTCAGTATTGTTTTTGCTGCTACTCGAATATTGGGTACATGCGATACATTACGCCAACCTGCCTCCACATAGACAAGGATTTAGCGCACAGACGATTGTCTAACTTTTCATCCTTGTTTCTGGATCAGGAGGCGGATTATTGCCCAACTGCCGACAGCCAGGTAACACAGCTGGATGGATGAAAGGACAGGAGAACTGACTCATCACTTTACCCTTTAGAGCTGAGAGCATAAAGAAAGGGAGGGGAGAGCTAGTGCAGAATGGCAGGAAATTTTACCTCCTCCAATTTATTAGAATTCTTCTCATACTACATGTTGAAAATATTAGTTCAGGGGTCATCAGCCTTTATGCCGGACACTTTCGCAAGAAACAATGCAACTCCAGCCTCAGCACAGTAGAGAGATGCAACCTTAATTAATCTCTGATTAAATTTGAAAAGTCCTAAATTTTTGTGATGAAATTATTGAATTTGGTCATGAAAACACATAGCATATGGATTACATACATACATTATTATAGAAACAATTCATATTCACTTGGTTTCTTCAGCTCATGGAAGCAAAAAGGGCTTTTCACTTTTAACATAATTTATTTCTAATGTCTCACACACAACTTGCTAACACACATGGGAGGCTGACTTTGCACAAGGGAATTAATTTGCGTTTGAATAATAATGGCCTGCGTTTTTTCCTCTGAGCACCTAATTACAAAGAAATTAATTGGATTACTATAGACAGAGGAGCAAATTCAAATTATATTGATGTTTAAATGTAATCTTAATCTTCCTACCATTGGCAAAATACATCAGAAGAAAATTAGACTGTGTCAGAGTTCACTTTATTCAAATTTCAGCAGTGTAAATGCGCAAAACCTCGAGCACCTTCCCTCTGCCGAGCTTTAACTAACAATACTTTTCCGTGTCGTTGAAATGCAGAACACAGACAGGAAAACATCACCGCTGGTCTGGTTACTTGAATATGCTAAAAGCATCTCTGGATCAGACAGCTCAGCAGATCTAAGGCTCCGTTCAGACTGCAGGCAAATCAGATTTTTTCCTCAAATCAGATCTTTAAGACAGACTGTCTGCACTGTTATGTGCAAGTTGGTCAGATTGGATTTGTGTATCATGGACTTTCCACATCCAGATACGAAGTGAAAGGTACCCTGGGTGTTGGTTGTTGACGCTCTGGGACACCGTGTCAAGTTCTGCCCAGTACATGCATTGTCTTCTTTCAAAATACACCTCAGTTTACACAGGAAATTTAATGTCTACATACAGGCTCTTTTAAAATAAACACACTACAACGGGAATTTGGTTTAGGAAAAAAAGAACAGGGTTTGACTTTATAATCTTACGAGACGCGTCCACCACTCTGTAAAGGTGACAGGCTGTGTATTATGCCAACGTTAAAGGACGGCTTATTTCGTCAGTATCTGACACCGCAAGTCACTGCCCAAGCGCCAGATTTCGACGTCTTTGGAGTTAGATCAGGTTGCTGATGTAGGTCAGTGACTATGTAGCTATGCTGGTGGCCACTTTCCAACACGGAAGCATAATGGAGATCCACCATTTTCGCCCTCCAAACAATCAGGATGGATTCTGCTAAGCACTTCCGTCATTCTGGATTTGACGTCGTCATTGTGTGTTGTGTTGTGATTGACCCAAAAAAAACTTTGAATTCCGAGCCAGAGCATTTGGACTGCGATACGTTTGTGGAAGTCAAGTCCATGGGAACAGCGCTGGACTTTGAAGCCAATTTTACCAAGTTGCCAAATGTGGAATTACAACTTTGCGGTCAGAGACATGATACCATGGGGCCCATGGTAGCTTTTTTAGCTTCATGCGCCACTGCGCAACATTGAATGGGGCCCCGCCTCCAACACTATATCCAGGTCTCTTTAAACATCCATGGTAGAAATGTGATTGGAATCACATTTCTACCAACTAACTCCAAATGTAGCTTGGATCAGATTAGCAGAAATTGCACTGTGGTTTGTTTTTTGCTGTCCAGACTTTCTAAAATCAATCTGGATATGCCAGAAAAAGGGTTTGTGCTGCCAGTCTGAACAAGGCCCACGTGCCTCCCATGTGACCTTCCACTAATGTCAACAGTTGTTCCACTCCACATCCTGGCCGGGACAAAAATATCAACCACTGTGACAGCTCCGAAGTGGTTTCATCTTAGCATTAGTCTAATGGTACCATCTCCTCTTTCATTTTTCCAGGTGGTTATGTACCAGCTCCACTGACTCCTCAACAAGGTACCAGATACCCACCCCCCTCACATCTCTATGCACCCACAAACACCACATTACGAAGGACAGTAGGATAATAGGTAGTTTCAGCCACACAAGTGTCCCCTGCATCTCATCCCATTTTCCAATTTCTCTCTGTGCTCGATGGCAACATGTCAGATTATTTAGATGAGATTGGAAAAGGGTGGGTCGGCACTATGTGTGCTTGTCAGCGCAGATGGCATGGCACAACCAGTGCGATGAACTTGTGATAATCTGCATTTTCCTGAACAGCTGAGATTATAGCTGTTGGGATTATTTCAAGGAATGCATGCCTGGTTTCTTAGGTAACTACAGTTATCGGTTTGATCTCTCACAGTATCTGAGTTATCTGATACCATTTTATCAACAGGTCATTATTTTGAGTCGCTGAGGCATCATTGTTGTCCAGTACATAATTGTTTCTTTTTTACATATCAGTGACTTTACTGAGAGTATTGTAAGGCAGTTCACAATAGTTACGTTTGTGCCGCTCTCTTCCCATACAAATGTTTCCTTGTTGCTAGATGTAACGTTTTGATTGGTTAGCTGACACGACAAGACATATGAAGACAGCAATTTTAAGCAGGAGTTATTTAGTAAAGGTTGAATGGTGCTCGTGGCTCATTGCATGGACAGCGCTAGCTTGCTGTTCTCTGCCCGAGTGAGAGACCGCAACCTAGCTGAGTTGCCTTCACTGATGTAAATGGCTGTATGTTCAGTATTCACCTGCTGAAGTTCCGTAAAGTGCAGAAATGAAAGATTTCTTGTCGTGTGAAGTGATTTCCACCCACGCACATCCAGACGGATAAGCCTAGCTTACTTCAGAAGCCGGAAGTATGACAGTGTTGAACATCCACTTCCATTGTGGGTTGTTCCCTACCTGCCACCTTCATCAATAAATCCATCTGTGATTTCACTGACAGCATCTGTTTGCTTCACTAGTGGTGAACATCAGTAAGTCTTCTGTCTTTAGCTTATAACAGCCTCTCTGGGAGGCTGGTGGTACAGTATAATTGCTGGATGGATGCTGTGGGAAATACCACATATCCACAAGTCGTAAACTTCACTCAACTGTACCAGCAAAATAAAGAGATGTTTTGTGGAACACAAGTCATTAAACATTTGTATAGCAGAAGAGAGATTTAGTTTAATAGCTGATGTTGTTTGTGCTTTTTGTTGTTTTGCAGCCAAAGCAGCCAAGTACGGCCCATTGCAGGGCTTCCTTGGTGGTGCAGGAGGAGGAGGGGGCTACAGAGGTAAAAGACTTTTTTTCTAACTTTGTGTTAATTTGCATTATCTCCAGTGTGTTCTTATAAGAGACTGAACTGTAATCCTGGTTGTTTGCTGCAGGTGGAGTCGCAGGATGCCAGGGCAAATTCTGTGGGAGGAGGAAGTAGAGGATCTCTTGAGATCCATCGTGACCTCAAGATACCATGGTGCTACTGCATGATCTAGAATGTACATTTTATATGCAAACAAACCCCATTAGAAAACGTGTAAAGATGTTTTTTTTTTTTTTTTTTTACTTGACTTAAATGTCTGTTTTTACACAAACCCACCGACCCAGAATTTTGTACACACTCTGATGTGACGTATGTTATTGAAAGTGCTTTTAACCATTAACGTGGTCAAGTTAATCAGCATTAACTCCCCGTGCTGCACCAGCCTACTTAAAATACAAAGAGTGTGTTTGTGTCACTGTGTGTTGTTCTTGTGCATGAATGTGAGTGTGTGTTTTGTGCGAAAGACTGACTGAACCACGGGCTGCCAATGTGACCTATGAATGATTTCCCTCACGGTTTTAATCCTAAAGCAAGGTGAACTGTCCTCAGTGTTACAGCCCACACTGTCTCACCTCGCTGTGCAGAGCTTGTCATCTCTCTGACATGAGTTGGTCGAGGCTCGTCCAAAAACCGATGAAATCTGGCCAATCTCAGCGTCGTCTCTGGCTCCCCGTCTTCTCTGCTGCTATTTTTAGGCCTGCTGGGTATAAAGCAGCGGGAATTGGGGCTCCGGCCAACCCATCTGCTCTCAACTTTGCTGATTCTAGTTGCTATGCAGTTCAGTTTTCTCAGCATTTTTAATGTTGCCAAACTTGTGATGTATGAAGAGCAGTTTCTGCTCTGAGGAACAGCGTGCGGAAGACAATCGAAAAGTGTTTCATTCATTACAGGATGTTTAAAAACCACGGGAAAAGCAGTGTTGCCTTTTACTTCAAAGTTATGTTTAATTATTTGTCTGCGATAGAGCGATTTAGTCGGCTTCACATGTTTAGTCTCATTGCAGCAGTTATTTACATTTATGTAACTTGTCATTACATGATTATTCAAGATTTTTTGCACCATGCTTTGACTCATAGCTTTATTGTTATCAGGAATGTGTGAACATAAAACAAGAACAATCCTTTGCTTTTGCATTTATTCACTGTTTAGAATTGCAATACAGAATAATTTGTTTGATGGGAGAGACGGAGTGTTTATGATGCGTAGGCTCCCATTGTTCTTCATTTACTTGAGCTGCTTTTAAAAAAAAAAAAGGCTTACTGACCAAAGGTTCATGAGCGCTGTTGCCAAGTGACTCCATCTCTTTCTGTATTTGTGTACTGTATTTTGTACTAATATGATGTTTGCTGGCTACGGTTCCTTCACTCGGTGCTGTGTAAGAACTGTCTTTGAGCCTTGCTGGGTCAGACCTTGTCTTATGTGCCGTGGGATACTCTTCATCTTTATTTAAAACTGTTTTTATAAGGAGGAACAGTGTGGTTTTGCACTTTTTATATTTCCACGACACACTTGTGACTTGTTCCCGGAATCCAGCAATTATTTGCTTCATTCAGTAACAAAATAAAATGTGTTAAAAGATCTGGTGTCTTGCCTATATTTTTCTTTCCTATATGAGTGCATTCCAGAGTGGCGGCAGCAGCAGTTCATCCTGTGTGTTGATGGAAACCACCTGGCTTAGGGTGTCCTGCCAGATCAGTTTGCTGTGAGCTGCATACAGCGATAGTATCTCAGGTTTGAGTCTTGCTGCATCTCAATTCAGCAAGATTTCTTCCACTGGGCAAAACGAATCAGGAACCATCAGATTTAGTGTATTCTAAAATATGATACGATATGTGAATGAGTCGGCAGAGCTCTTCCCTGCAATGACAACAAACATTAAGGGCAGGCATTTTGCCTCAGCGGTGACTGTAAACTCTGTTCCTGTTGTGCCAGCTGGAAATAATGAACTCATGTTGCCGTTCCCTGAAGTTCTCCTGGGAGAACCAGTGACCTATGATCTGCATCCTTCAGAAGTAGCTTATATTGTTGTTACATAAGCAGAAGGCTCATGATATTGTTCCACAGAAATACTACAGTGTCACTATGGAGCTGCAGTTTAATGCTGTAGGTTTAATTTTTGTTACAGATTTGTTAAATTTAAAACCAAATAGATATTTATTCATTAGTTCAGCTGCTTTAAGATGCACACAGCACTTCAAATTAAGCTGCAATCAACTAATTTCACCACTTACAGTACACATAAACTAACATTTCAACAGCTTTCATCTTTTATGCCTTACTGTCATTTTAATGTCTTTTACCATATAGGGGAGACCAGGGGCAAGTGTAGCATCTCAAATTGCACCAAACAGAAATGAGACAGTACAGCTAAACTCATTATGCACATGGTCTGTGATCCCTCGCCTGCCAAAGGACAAACTACTGTCTCATACCTGTCAAAGTTTTTCTCCCAGGATAAATTTTGGAGATATGAAATTATTTTATACAAGGGGCTCTTCTAACATCTCAGACTGCACCAATCAGAAATGAGACCGAACTGTGAAACACTGAATGTGCTCTGTGGTAACATGGGGTAAGGTTATTTTGTTTCAGCCTGTACTCACTATGAATTCGTCAAATACCATAACTTTGTCAGTGATTTCAGTCAGACACCGACGCACAAAGCCAACTTTTGCAGCAATATAATGTGTATCACCTTGTAAAGTAGCAATGTAATAAAAAGAGAAAGTCCAAGTGTGTGGGGAGGTGAATGGGTTCAAGAAACCCCGGACCTTCACCTGGGAGCCCACTGTTTGCTTCCCATGTGAGTTTTAAGCCAAACCATGATGTTTTCTTTTAACGTTGCACGAGGAAATAAACATAAAAACCAGGGGTTTTACTACCATTGTAAGTGTATTTTGAAAAAGACTGTATGAATCTAACGAGCAGAAAACAGAGGGTATTTTTAAAAGACACAACGCACGCTCCGAGCATACACTGACACAGTGTCCCAGAACATCAACAACAGACTCAGGTTACAGTGCATCATATGTAGATGTGAAATCCCACTGACAAAGAGGCTATATTTGATGAGTTGGGATAAAAACTTATTTATTTGTACCCATAGGTAAATTTGGTTTGTAGTTAAAAATGAGCCACATTTTGCAGACAACACTGTGGTTATCCCTCTCTGTCTGCAAACAGACAAACAAACTGATGTCTCATACTTGATATGATTAATTATACTGTTTTAATTATACTGGAATTAGTTATTAATTTAACCATATCTATATTCTTGGAAGTTTATTGTGGTCCCTGGTGTTTATATGAAAGTATTAAGTGTGCTGTTACAATCGCTCATACAGGATGTACCATCTGACTTTAATGTTTCAATCAGTATTGTGACTCTAATGTAGCTTGTAAAAGCTGTTAGTGACTGTTAACAAGTGAACAGCACATGCAAGTTACCTACATAAAAAACTGTATTTAGATAGTTCAAGATGGTTTTATTAAACAATGTCACTCCTGGCCCCGGTCTCCCCTACACTACAGCTAAGAGTCCACTGTTTACAGCATCTGCACTTTAAACTCTTTCAGTACTTCATCTTCAGCTGTAATTCACATTTCAGCAGAAAATGAGAAATATATTTGTATTGTTTTAAGAGCTTTAAAGACTCAACATGTTAAACTTTGTCATTTCAGATGGTTCCATTGTGAGCACAGTTATTATTTTTTTTTATAAAGTTGCCTTTTCTAGTTCAAATTGTAAAATAGCTGTGAATTAAATTTGTGGCTAACCTGTAATGTAGTTATTCAGTAGCCTACTAACTGACCCCACTGTGGTGTTTAGTGCACTGTGCTCCTCCACCCCGCCCCCAAAGCAGCGCATTAATTAAGCAGGGAGTGTTCCTGTTGGCCGGCCCGTGTCTTCCTCTCCCCGGCTCTGCAGCTTCATTGGTCGGCAGCTCTCTTGAATGAAGCGCCGCAGAAACGTGCAGCAGGCAGGAGGAAGCTGTGTGGGCCGCCGCAGGGAGGGACCGACGCACAGCAACACGACCGCCGGGCGGGCTGCGGTGGTGGTCGGACACCGGTTATCTGTCGACCAGAGGCGACTGGCTCTCTCCCGGAGCTCGGTGTCGGAGAGTGAATGAGGTTGATGCTGCTCTGCTGCACCTGGAAGGACGAACGCATGGGAGAGGAGGAAGGTAAGGAGCCGCTGGGTGTCAGGAGCCGCTGGGTGCATGCGGCGGCGGCGGGGCGGGAGATGCAGAGACAGCGGAAAACACTGAGGATGCTCCACAGAAACTGGCTGTAAACAATATGCTTGGCACTATTTTTCCTACTCTGGGTGTCGTGTGTTGTCAGGCACACACAGGCAGCAGAGTGGTGCGTGTGCAGGCAGCGTCAAGCTGCATGTCCATATTGTGCTGCAACTGAAGCCATGTTGATGTACCCGTCATGTTTGGATGCAGTGTGTTCACCCTCGGGCCATGATCAGTGCTCATTTAACCCAGTATAGCCAAATATATTCTGCTCATGAGCTGGTTGTTACATTAATACGGTAAAATAGGGACTCTTTGGGGTGTTAATGCAAAATTAAACAGTTTAATTTGGAAGTTATGATCTTTACCAACATCCTCTAAAGCAGGGTGTCAAACTAATTTTAGTCCAGGGGCCACATATGGCACAGTTTGATCAGTAAAACCACTACATAATAACCTATAAATAACAACTCCTTCATTTTTCCCCTTTTTAATCTAAAGAAGTCTGAAAATATTCATCCATTTACAAAACAAATGATGAACAGCCGGCAATATCATCAGAAAAATATGTGCAAATTCAACAGTATGTCTCAGTTTTTCCACATTCAGCCACTCAGCTACCCACTTTCATTACATGTGCCCTTTTTTCATAATTTTCCACTAAAGTAGAAGCTGTTGAAGAAGCAGGTTAAGTCATCTGCTGCCTTATAAACCATTTACAATCTGAAGTTTTGTCAGTGCCTCAGCAGCAGGGTTACACTAATACAGTTTTAAGATAGAAGTCTGATACAGATTCTTTTGTACTGAATATCTTGCGATCGAGGGACATCTGAGCTGCAGCAGGATAAATCCCGCCCCCCCATGGAGTCCAGATACTGGCAGACTGGGTGGTGGCTGATGACTCTGAAGCTGATGGCTGATGAGACGGATGAGGATGATGAATCCGGAAAGACTAGGTAGTGATGGGGAGGTGGAGGGCAGATTTTTGAGGGGTTGTAACAGAAACACATGGTACACAAAGTAATTTTCGATCACTCTTTATTCTTTGCCTCCACTTTTGTTGCTTCTCTAGACTTTAAAACAAGGAGAAAACAGTGTATGGTTGAACTGGTTAGAGAATAAATGTTGGGAACAGTTGCTTGAACGAGTTATGACCTAATAATTTGTGTATCACTGTGACTATTTGGTAAATATTTGCATAAAATGTGATATTGCTGTACATTCAGAGTTCACTGTGGCTGTCGGTCAAGTTCACTGGTCTGGACAATAGTCCTTTTATGCGATGACTCACTTTGCATGAGGAACTGCTGCTGAGTCTCTGTGAGTAATGAGTTTTAGGAGGGATTGGACACACAGCTGTTCACCTGCACAGGTTAGTTAGTGTGTGAGAGAGGTGTGTTTGTGTGCCTTTACTGAGGTATTTGTGTCCTCTCTGAGACCTGTCCAGACAGCAGAGGTCAAGAGGAGACAATTATCAGGGAGAAACATGCCCCATGATGAAGAGACAAGGTGAATAATATTCATTAGTCAGGTTGAGGTGAAGGCAGAGCAGAGAGGGGGCATTAGCACAAACCAGATCTGCCTACCAGCCAATATGATCAATAAATCTACTACTGCAGGGCGGCTCTCTCAGGCATTACAGTAACAAGCTGACCGCATAAAACCTCTGCTAATGTACGAATAATCAAAGATGCAAGGATACTTCTCGCATGAGAAAACATTGATATACAGATACCAATACATAGATGCTGAGCTGCAGTGAGCAGATGTGTCTTTGAACTCTAAACTGATCTATGACTGATCTTACCTGTCAATTACAAACCCAGTTGCCACGAAAAAAGTTGGCATTGTATGTTTCTGCAAACCATGGATACGTGGTATCTTTGCATATTATTATGTAGCAGATACATTGAAACTTTGTGTTTCAACAACACTGTCATTAACACCTGGTTAGGTCACACAAAACCACTTAGTTATGTTCAGGAAAAGATGTTCTGGCTTAATACCCATTCAGGAGGCACAATCCTGGCAGGAAAAGTGGCGATGTCTTGGCAAAAACAAACTGCTCTCCACGCCTAAACAGCCCAGGGTTTCACACCATTCCTTTATTTGTGGCGCCCTGCCACGATTACAACATCTGCTGCCACGTTTTAATTTTCCGTTTTTGGAACTTGACCATTAATTAGGAGCGCTGTTGGTACCGTTCGGTTATTCATTAATTAACACTCTTGTAGCGCAGGGCGCACTGTGGTCACAGATGGAGCAGCAGAACACCAGGTGCAGTGAAAGTGAAACTTAGCTGTTCATTGGATCGGTCTAAAAGTTTGATTTCACTCACAAACATCTGCTCCTGGCATCCATTGATCTAATCTGATCTGATCTGATCAGATCGGATCGACTCATCCATTGTCCGCCCGGCAACTCAAAGCTCCACAGACTCAAACACATGAACCGTTCCACCTGTGCTGCATTCAGGGACCCAAAAAACCTCTGAATTTATAGAGGAAGCACAGCCTTACACACAAAAAATCCAAAAATGCAAGTTAGCAACCCCTCTCCATCAGCTGCTGCCACACATAGATTCAAATTCTGTGGGAAACACTGCAGCCGCTTGAAACACAGTGACGAGTCCCTAAAAAAACACCCACATTTGGGAGCTGAAAAGTCACTGGAAAAAAAGCCACAGGTTACTGAAAAGTACCCATGTTTGGTTGTTAAAAGACCACAGGAAATACAGATATGAATCCCAAAAAAGCACCTATGTTTGGTGCTTAAAAAAGGCAGGATGCATAACAGTGACTCAAACATTGGTCTTCAGCCTGGCAGGCGTCTTGCCCAGGTGACACACCACCATCCACCATCACCTCTACCTCCCGATCAGAAAGGCAACTTATACATTATGTAACCTTCCCCTGCTTCATATGTACTTTCCGCATCGTCATCATTCTCCTCTTGTTTTGATATGATATACATGAAACATGCAAATGTAACATATTTGCTATTTACAGAAATGTAAAGTACAGTGCCAAACCTTTCTTCTGGCAACTGGGCTGTTGTAGCTCTGTTTTGCATTTGAGAGATGGCATGCAGTTGCATATTGCTGTGGATGTGCAGAACTGCAGAAACATGATTTATTGACAATCATCATTTTGTAGGGCCGTAACGGTACGTGTATTTGTGTCGAACCGTTCGGTACGCGACTTTCGGTTCGGCACGACCCTGTACCGAATTATTGGGCGCAGGATATTATTTTATTTTATTTTGTTTTATTTTAATTCCGTTTTTGCGAGCCGAACCATTTAAAATATCTAGTTCCCCGACAGACATAATTGAACGACGGACCGAGTCCCGTAAATCTCCGCTTTCACTTTGTGCAGCGCATTCTCGCACGTTGACAACATGGCAAGTGAGCCTGACGAACCTGAAGACCCACCTGCAAACCTTATGTCCTCCGTTTGGGAACACTTTGGTTTCAGGGTAAAATACAAAGATGGAAATAAACAAGTGGACAAGACAAAAGCAGTGTGACGACACTGCAGAACAGCGGTCGGGTATGTAACTTGGAAACACTTCTAACATGATAACGCATCTAAAGCGACACCACCTGAGTTTGAACATTAACCGGGACGACTAGAAAAAGCAATCTGGTGCAAACTGCGATATCGTCGTCGTTTAAAAAGAAAGAGCGTTTCCCTGACCATCGCACTAAAGAAATAACCAACGCCATTGGAGTTGAGTAAAATTGTTTAAGCTGCACTTTAGATATAAGCATGTTTTGTTTACTGCACTTTAACAAAGTGGGAAAGCTAAGTAAGTTCCTAGTAAAACTGAATCTGAGCAGGCTTTAAAGCTGACCAGCTGCACTATACTTTTTATTTTAATTGAGTAAAACTGTTAAAGCAGAAATGTATATTTAGATTTTTCATTCAAAAAATGTGTTAAAAAAACAGCAGGATTTTATTTTTCACTTTTATATTTCTATTTTCATTCAAACAATGTGAAAAGCAGGATTTTATATATATTTGTTTCATTCAAAAATTGTGTAAAAGAGTTAACTGCTGTGGTGGTATGTTTTAATAAGGTTACCAATAAGTAAAAGATATTTAATAGTTGTCTGTTTTTTTCATTACTGTACCGAAAAAAAAAGAACCGTGACTTGTGTACTGAGGTACGTACCGAACCGAGATTTTTGTGTACCGTTACACCCCTATCATTTTGCTGTATTTTTTATAGAAGTAACAGAGTATGCCCTGCTTTGTGTAACAATGATAACCTATGATTAACACCTCTTCAAACCAAGTCTTATGTTGCAACTTAAAGACGTGATATTTTGAAGTAATATCATCTTTTATGTTTAAAAGGTGACAGCATGCATTTGATGTTCCTCTGATGTGACAAAGTGGCCTTTGAGTGACTTTATTTTTGAGTTCACTGCAGGTTCAGACTCTCAGGCAGCATGTGAACTTACAGACACTGACAAATTTCAACAGTGAAAGCAGAGGAACTCAGCAAGGATGCTCAGAAAGAATAGTGCAGGAGTTACTCGAGGAAGTTGAAGTATTCATCTTCAGCTCAGTCCTCTGTCTCGTATGGATTATATCCCTGCTGATGGAAAGATCACCATGTTTTAACTAGCGGCCATGTTTATAGTTGTTGTTATTTTGCATGTCAGTGTGTCGCCGCCTCTCTGCCTCCTACTCAGGATGTGAAGGGCGTGTGATGTGTTCTCAGGCAAATGAACTGCAGCAGCAGTAATATCTGCTGTATGAAGCCTTACCCTTTGCTATCTGCTGCTGCTGCTGCTGTCACCTCAGCCTGAACTGATCTTCCTCTGCAGAAAATACACACACACACACACACACACACACACACACACACACTGCTGCTCTCTCTGTCTTTAATTAATTGTTCCAGCTCTTCAAAGGTGCTTCTTTTCCTGAAACTTTGTAATCATAATTAACTTTCTCCTCATTAGAGAATGGGGGAAGGAATCAAACTTTGAGAGTCAGAGGAAGAAACTTATCTACTGAAAACAAAAGATTCTGTTTTTCCACAAGACGCATGAATCTTTGACGCACTTTTGAGAGCAGTCTGTATGTTAAATATACAGGTGTTGGGCTTTCTGTTTCCAATGACAACAAAGTCCTTTTAGTGTCACATATGCATCAGAATATTCTGCTCTCTGTTGTACAAAAAATATCAGTCTTTGCCAAAAATGATGTGGTTCATTGTCATAGAAATGCAAAAATACTGAGGAGGATTCTTTCGAATGATTGATAGTAACTTCAATTGCTGGCTTAAAGGAATACTTCATCCCCCAAACGACCATTTGTGTATCAATTAGTCACAATGTGTTACGCTGAATTTGTGAAGACAACTTTGTGTTTCGTGCATTCCTCCAGAGTGAAAGAAAAATCCACAAATGGAGAATATTCTTGATGAATTGAAGAACATAGGGGTCCACCTTTAATAACAGCAAAACTATATCAACACATCAGTTTACAAAATCTCACACAACTCATGCAGTATAATCCAAGTCTCATTTATCCAGTTGTATGCTCAGTACTTTTTAAACAAAGAGACCTTTTCCAACAGGGAACTGAACTAAAAGCTCTCCTCAAAGCCAGACCCCACTGACAAAAACAGTCATCTTACCTTGCCGCACATGGTAGCTGCTAGTCTACCACTGCCTCGATCAGTTAGTTTGTTTGTGTTATTGTGTGACTTTGAACTAACCCTTTCAAATATCATAGTCACACAATAACAGAAACAAACTAACTGAGGGAGTGGTAGACCCACAATTAAAGTAATTAAAGTAAAATGACTGTTTTTGTCCATGGAGCCTGGCTTGGAAGAGAGCATTGATAAGATTTACTTTGAGTTCAGTTGCCCATCGAACATGCTGTCTGATTGGGAAATATACCACAGGATTAATAAGACTTGGATTATACTGCATTAGTTGTGTGAGAGTTTGTAAATGGATGTTTTAATGTAGTTTTGCTGTTGTTAACTTTAACTCATCAAGGATTTTCTTTGTTTTTGGATTCTTCGTTCACTGGAGGCATGCGAGAAAACAAAGTTCTCCTCACAAATTCAGCAGAACACGGGGTGAGTAATTGATGTGCAAATGATCATTGGGGGGGTGAAGAATTCCTTTAAAATCTATTGGACTTAGGTAATAATGATATATATATATCTTTCTCAATTTTGATTTAACTGTACTATTAAGAAACAAATCAATCCAGTAGAACAAACATCACCTAAACTCATTAAATAATGTGCAGTAATAGTGTTTAGCTGTTTAAACTAGAACTGGAGGCAGACTAAATGTGGTAATTTAAAATGAATTGTTACACACCAGCAGTGATTCTCTAATTAAAACCATCCATCTGTGGACACACCGACAAACTGTTGCTGATATTCACGCTGCATGCTGTCTGCCATCAATGATGGAGCATTTTCAGAGACGATGTGTGTTTGATATCTGGAGCCTCAGAGTTGTGGATTTGCATTGAAGGCGAGATAAGAACAAGGATCATCATCACATGCAAAAACACATATCAGTAATTATTACATCCCCTCAAAGAACTGGTATTGATTTTGTGCATAATGAACAATAAAACAGTGGCTATCAGTTCGTCCTGTGACCTCTGTCTCATGTGTTACAGCTGGAGGAAGTTTGCCCGTCTGTGCGGGATGCAAACAGAGGATCTATGATGAGCAGTACCTCCAGGCCCTCAACAATGACTGGCACACCGTCTGCTTCAGGTACGTTCGACCCTGACTCACAGTTCACCAGCCTTAACATGTTCACACAGACGTCATGAGTTCATGTCTTTAAAGGGCAGCCATGGAGCGTCTCCTTGCCCAAGTGAATGAAAGGATGAAAAATTAATCAGCCCTTTGCTGCACTTCATCTCCTCGTCTCTCTCTCTCTCCTCTCTTTCTCTGTCACCTTTATACGGTCAGCTGTCCGTTAAAGGCAGGAAATGACCATAAAAATTATTATAGAAAATAGAAAGTATTATAAATAATCACAAATCAAGAAGAAGCATTGATAAACAAAACAGGGCAGTTTGAGTGATGTTTGGCTGCTAAAATTTGATTAGTTCAGCAAATAATCAATATTTTTTTAATCTTTTTTCAGGCGTTTATACCAAATATTCGTTCTTTTCAGCTTCTCAAATGTCAGAATTTGATGCTTTTCTTTGCCATTTCTAAAAGCAAATTGAGTAAAGTTTGAATTGTTGGTCGGATAAAATGAGCAATTTGAAAATTTCACCCTCTGATCAGTTTTATTTATTCATTTATTTATTTATTTTTTTCAATTTTTTTGACGATAAGTTTATAGATAAAGAAAATAATCGACAGATGAATTGATAAAGAAAATAATCGGCCGATGAATTGATAAAGAAAGTAATTGGCCAATGAATTGATAAAGAAAATAATCAGCTGATGAATTGATAAAGACAGTAATCGGCTGATGAATTGATAAAGAAAATAATCAGCTGATGAATTGATAAAGACAGTAATTGGCCGATGAATTGATAAAGAAAATAATCAGCTGATGAATTGATAAAGACAGTAATCGGCCGATGAATTGATAAAGAAAATAATCAGCTGATGAACTGATAAAGAAAGTAATCGGACGATGAATTGATAAAGAAAATAATCGCGTTTCCTCAATGGATCGGGAACTTTTTCTGCTGCTGTATCGAGCCATGGTTTCCTTTTGCATGACATCAGGAACATTTGCATCTGCATGTGCTATTGGTAAAGGTTTCAGTAGTCCACAAATTCACAATGTCTTCTGTGTTTAAACCCTCTTCTGGCAGTCGACCTTTTACTCTGCTGGTAACATGACTATAAGCTCTGCCACTGTCTTGTCTTTTTGTGAGAAAATCTACTTTAATTTGTCCTTTTCTTCTTTGAGTCTTTTTGTGGTTGGTGTTTGTCATTTTGTCATCTCTTATGGGTTTCCTTGTCAGGCCTGAGCTCAGAAAAGCCTTTATATATTGGATTCAGTTCAGATGTGAACTGATGATCTCTGGCTGACGTGATTCTCAAACATGTTCAAGTCAAACCAGTGAAATCGCTCATCTTTGTGACCAGAGGCGTCACGTGGGGTGATCAGATTCAGACTGGTTCTCCTCTTTAGTCCGTCATTTTTGTTGCTGTAGCGTCCTTGAGAGAAACAGAAGCTTATTAACAATATCTCTCAAGCTTATTAACAATATCTCTCAGACCTGAGCAGCCTGACAACCAGTTAACATTTCTAAAAACCGTATACATATAGACACCTGATACCACCTGGACAAAGACAATCAAGGATACTTTTAATTACATTGAATTCAAGACTTCCTCTCCTTATCAGCAGATATGAACAGTAGTTTCTGTTGTGTCATTTGTTGCCGCTGCAGTCAGTGTGTTTGGTTTTACATTGCAGAGGTTTTGTTTGAGGAGAAGAATAGACAGGTTTGTGTTTCAGGCTCAGGCAGGTTTCTCTCTTCATGAGGTGCCACGTTTGGAAATAACTTTAGACTGAAGATGGAAAAGCTTATTTGCAGAGTGACTGTGTGAATATGGAGACTGTTGTCTGTTCCTTCTCAGTTGGATTTTTGATCAATTGTTCTGCAGTACATAGTGTGTGTGTATGTGTGTGTGGGCAGTGAGACTTCATGTGTCTCTGTGTGAAAGAAATATATTCACATGGTTTGGATTTTAACCAGAGTCATGATTGTTGTTTTTTTTAAGATGGAGCACAAATCTTGTCTGATGAATGAATCTGATCTGTGAAGACTAAAAAGCAACATTCTGGCGATTTGAAGATGAATTTTAGGAGCTGCAAAACCAAAAGTTAGATTTAACATTATTGAATTATTTCACATTGCTGCAGTATTAAAGGACCCCTGACCGTGGAGAATGAATAGCTTGTTTGCAATCATGTGACTATTGTGACACACAAAATTCAGATGGAGGACAGGAAGTGATAAATCCATATACTGCATTAACTGGATAAAGAGGAAAGTAGAGGCAGCAGGTATCGTCAGAAAACTGAATCTCATGTTGGGTGTTATCGATATAAAACTC